CACTTACTTATTTACTTACTTCTTCACTTACTTATTTACTTACTTATTTGCTTATTTATTTACTTATTTATTTACTTATTTGTTTATTTATTTATTTATTTACTGATTAATTAATTTATATGTTGGTTTATTTATTTATTGATTTATTCATTGATTTATCGGTTTATTTATCTATTCATTTATTGATTTATTTATTTATTTATTCATTTATTTATAGATTTGTTTATTTATTTATAGATTGATTTATTGATTGGTTTATAAATTGATTTATTGATCTATTTATTTATAGATTGATTTATTGGATTATGGATCGATTGATCTATTTGTTTATTTATTCATTTATTTATTTATCTATTTATTTAATTATTCATTCATTCATTGATTCATTCATCTAGTTACATAGTTGCTCATCTAGCTTCAGAACAAATATAGCCCGCCTATGAAGCGTGAATAGCGATGTAGAGCATCGAAGTGCAAACAACCCAAATTCGACACTGAATACCATTCCTTGCGAATGTTATTGTCGTCCCAGTGAAAAAAGAAAATTCTTAGCATTTAGGAGTAAGTAAAATCGACTGACCAACACAAATAGAGAATTCGTGATTGAATCTCATGCGCCATCTTTGTCACCAATTATCTGGTTTATCCTATTGTTTAAGAAGACCACAGTAAAGTTTTTAATTGTCCTTGTCGTGTGTTAGCACCGTTCATTAGATGCCTTTCATTCGCTCGAAAGCACAATTAGCATCATATTTTTGTTGAGGCCCTTTCCTAGAACTCCTTTTCCAAGGAGACTGCTGCGGATTGTTAACCAGATTTCACCGTACCCGAAGTTTACTATCACCTGTGCATGCGAATGAAAACATTCTTTTAGTAGGATTAGAATTTCATTGGATAAGGGCTACATCTTTGTAAATGGATTATTTGATTTTTGCCAAGAGATTTTTGGCCCTTAGCTATTGAAATACCATGTTCACTGACTCCTAGTTTCATCAGAGGCAATGCAGGCAATAAATAAAGCCTTTCAAATTAATTATGAACGTATGTCCTGACTTCATGAATTGGTTGGTGGTGCTTAATGCTTTGGAGCAGCGCGCATAGATGATTGACTATTACTGGGACACATCATGAGTTGTAATTATTGCCTCTTATATTCCTCTTCATTTTGATGTTATAAGCTTTGAGCTAAGTCAACTAGTCAGCTAAACGCCGATCAGTCTAAACACTCATTTATAAGCTATATTAGGGGAGGATAGCACAGTGATAGTCATGTCCGTCATCACAAGCATGGTGTTAGTTCGATTCCGCTCTGGACCAATCAAGCCTGTCATCCACCGAGGTCGAGAAATTGACACCGCACTTGTATGGGAAAAAAAATCGATCTCTGGAATCCAATTAGGACTACAGGCAGAATTGCTCAGTCACCATTCAACGACATCGTGGACAATGGATGCGAGGAAACGAATCGAATGTGAGAAGCGCTGGGATCCGCACAGTAGACGTCATATAAGATAAGAAGACAAGATAACCGAAGAAAGCAAAGCGAAAGTTCGCTTAATACCTGCCGTAAAAACTGTAGTAGGCAGAACATAAAAAGTAAAACATTGTGATTTCAACTACAGTCTCAGCTTCACTGGGTTCAATGCCGATGTGGGATTCCCAGATCAATCCCGTTGACTGGTGATTGCTGATGGCGTTGATCGATAAAACTATTTGAGAGGCAGGCGAAACGAAGGACCCACATGGTGTGGTGGTGAACGCGTTAGCCCACGGATAGGGATAGGGTAATAGAACGTTCGTTCCCCGACTCATATGCCTGCAGTCAGGAGTTTTGCAAATATCTCAGAATCTTTGTGGTTGTGTTTCGCATGATCTCTGCCGTGAAAATTGTAGTAGGCAGAAAATAAGCAGTAAAACGTTGAGAATACAATTATTAATAAAGTTTAGACAGAAGACAGCTGTCTACAAAATTTTGCTACTTTCTTCGGAAAAAAATTGCACATACCCAGGAGATTGATCGTGAACTAAAGAAATAAATCAGAGCATTACCCACTGCTTAGTTGAGTGAAGACGATGAAGCAGACGAATTCTATTCACTGCTAAATTGTATAGTACAACGATCTTTATACCACTTTGACCTAATTTCAGTAGAAAATGATGGACCAAAAATACCGATTCACTTGACAGAAGCGGTATTATGCGAGAGTATAAACGCTGTTAAGAGAAAGAGAAGGGCTGGATCTTGAAAATGTCTAACGAGCCGTATTGGCTTTAACGGAGACCGTTTCTATTCGACGTCCATCCTCTTGCTGGCTTTTTCCCATATTCCAACGAAATTTATGCAAGATATCGTACCGTTTAGTGCAAAGCAAGGCCGTGTGATACCAAATGGTGGATAGCTGGTTGGAATCGGACAAAGACAACTATGTACTTGCCCGAAGGCGCGTTCGCGTTTAGGAGATTGGCTCTTCTGCATCTAATGTGCATGATGTACGTCCAGCTTTCATATGCACTTATTCATAGGCATGCATAACCGTCCATGGCTGAGTATGCATGACAATGTGTGAGTGCATTAAAGTGTTTGTAGTGAACAACAAAGCCATCGGGAAGTAGCCTAGAAGGACCGTCTCTAGCTACGGCTGGATTGAAAGGAGTGGATGGATCTGGATCTGGCTGAAACTGCATGGAACGGGTCACTTCCAAGTACTGGCTACCATGGCTACCATGAAGAACAAGGAAGCATCTCTACCGCTGAATGAAGTCAATGACAAAGATCACCTCCAAAAACTAAATCTTAGCAATTTCCATCGATTCCTAACAATTCACCCGTAGTATAGCTTACGGTAGAGCTCACCAAAGCAATTATTGCCGATATCATGCTTTTATAGCGTTAAAAATAGAGTTATCAAACGAAAAACACGAAGTGTTTTTTCAATAAGCAGACACCAGGTCGTTACTGTAGAATTTTTTAGGATACAACAGTTGACGTTTCGGCGGTTGGGCCTTCTTCAGAACCTGGAAAGGTCAAATTGAGATGCGATCAACTCAGCTAAGCACCTTCATAACCTTAGCAGATAAAACTTAACAAATAAATTTGCATTCGCACAGGAAATGGAAACAACTTCATTTATGCACCCACCGTTTATTCGTTGTATTTCAGATAGATGGTGGATAGCAACCACACAGAATAATACATGGACCAGGACCGTGCCTGTTTCAAGTCATTGGATCAGCCTGAGGTATGGCGCCAGATCACGCATGATGACAAGACACTCCTCCTTGGGGTTCATTTTTGATTTTTTTTGAATTGATTCAAAACGCTTCAAGAGTTTTACATGCTGCTATTTTCGATTCCTGCGTGAGGATAGTGACTCCTACTGCGAAAGTATGAGTGCTGAAATGGGAAGGAAAATGACTAAATCTTAAAAAAGTTTAACGAGCCGTATTGGCCTTAACAGAGAACACTTTTATTCAACGGGCATCTTCTTCGTGAATATTTTACAAACTCAGACGAAATGTTCGTAGTATGCCGAGCCGATTAGTGCAGGTCGCGTGACTGCAAGTGCTGGATGGCTGGCTGAACTCGGACAAAAACAATCATTCACTTGTTGATTGCGTTGCCTCAAGAGATTGGCTCTCCTGTAAATGTGCACGGTGTGTCTCTAACTTCCATGCGGTCGTATTGATGCCTACTCATAGTCGTGCATGACTGAGTATGCATGAAAATGTGTAACTTATGTAATTGCATTAAAGTGTTTTGTATCTACAACAACAAAGCGCTCGGATAGTGCTGAGGAGGTATCGCCTCCCTCAATCGGTTGGCTGGAACTACTTGGAACCCTTCATTTGCAATTATTGCTTGCCGTGAAGATCATGGATGCAAATCGATCAGTGAAATGAAGTAAACGGTTAAGGTCACCTCCGAAAACTAAGTCCTAGGTCCTTTCGATCGACTCCTAACAAACCAGCCGTGAATAAAACTCACGGTAGCGCTTGTCAAACCAAATGTTTTCGGCATCATTTCTTTAAACCATTAAAAAGAGAACTGTTATACGGAGGACATAGGGCTTTCTTCTTCCCTACGAATGGAGGAATTCCGTTGGCTGTCGCGGATGGTGCAGAGGTAAAAGTCTCACAGACCCTCAATCAACTTGGACCATCACCTGTACCACTTGTATCACCAGTGATCCCGTTGATCGTCGAGTGACTCGAGCGAGCGCCAGTAAATCTTCCATTTTTCCCTGGCGCGTGCAAGAGTAGCCCAATAGGTTCTGCTCGCTCTAGGGACTCGTCGAGCATCATACCTTTCTTCGAGGCTCTTCATAAAGAACTCTGACTATCGGGTCGGTGGTCTTCCTGCAGTACGTTTGACATCCCGAGGATTCCAGTCACTAACGGCTCTTCTCCATCAGTTGTCATTCATACGCATTACGTGTCCGGCCCACCTTATCCTGGACTGTTTGGCGTACAGAACGGCATCTTTGATTTTTGATCGTTGACGCAGATCGGAGCTTCGGATCCCGTCTCTTACTTGTGTGGAACGGGATACTCCTACCATCGTCCTTTCGACTGTGCGTTCGATAACGCTGAGTTACCTTTCATCCTGCTTACGCAGCGACCAGGTTTCTGACGCATACGTTAGGGCAGGAAGTACCGTCGAGTCGAAAAGGTGGGCACGGAGTCGGATGTTCTTTGTTCTCTCCACTACAGCCCCGATGCTCTTGAAAGCTCTCCAAGCTGTTCGTGTCCTTCTGCTCAGCTCTGGAGCTAAGTCGTTCATTATATTGATTTCCCGACCTAGATAGAAATAACTGGAGCATTCGGAGATATTCGCTCCGTTGAGCGTGAATTCGCTTCATAAGTGACGATCTGTACCTATAATGCACGCACACTTGCATCTGAGTTCTCGATAGGAGACTTGATCATGCAGGCAAGAAGGATAAGGTACGGCGTCATCAGCCTGGTTGAGACTAGACGACGCGACCCATTCAACGCCGTCTATGACACCGGAGAAGAACTGTTCCTCGGAATATGCGACAGTAGAGGAGTCGGCGGCCTCGGCATTCTCGTCAGCACGAGTTTGTCCATGAACATAGTTTCATTGGAGCAGCTTACAACCCGAATACGATTAAAAAGACGTGGATCAATTCCGGCTTTGCCAATCCTCGTCGTTTAGGTGCCGACATCAAACTATTACGAAGAAGAAGTCGAAGCGTTCTATGTGGACTTGGAGAAGTTCTACAGAGAAGATCACACATTCTTCAAGGTCATCATTGGAGATTTCAACGCCAAGAATAGGCCAAGAAGATCGTCTGAAATACGCCTTATTTGGACTCATGGATTAGAATGGAACGAACAGGGTGAGCGGCTTTCTGAGTTTATCATGGCGACCAAGACCATCCATGGTAACTCGCAATTAAAAGTTCCCACCCTCAACGCTGGACGTGGGAATCTCCAAATGGTGAGTACCATAACGAAATAGACCACATCAAAGCAAATTGAAGGTTTTGCTTAACCGATGTCGCTTTTGTTCCAAAATTCTACACAGGATCAGACCATCGTCTCCTTCGTGCAAGATTCTATTCCTCGCGGAAAGAGAATAAGCCGCTAAATTCCAAAACCGAATTCCCAGAACCACCGCAAACTGGGACTTATTCAACTCAATAGTCGGGTGTTGGGAAGATGCCGTTGTCGATGCCGTCGACGAAAAATATGATCGGTTTACTCAACATCTTCACGTTAGTGCTATGAGAGCTGTGAGCTCGAAAGTCACGAGGAGACATCTGTCTCCAGAAGCACACAAGCTAATACAACAGCGTGGAATGACACCAGGTGCAGGAGGATGGATATAGTGTTCAACCGGCTCTTCCTTCCGAAATCCGATATGCCATTTCGCCGGTGAAAAATCGAACATCACCAGGTCCGGACAGTATAAGCTCTAAATACCTGAAGAACCTTCCGTCAGTCCTCATAGACACACTGGACCGAATCTTCACATTTTGCCTGTCTGAATGCTAGATCCCTACTCAGCGGAAGATCAGCTATAGTTCAAAAAGGGTGGTTTCCACAATATCGGCAACTATCGCCCAATCTGCTTATTGAAAACTGCTTCAATCTGCTTATTGTTTTTTGTCTCTTTACTTTTCACTCAAGTCGCCCTAAACATGATTGACGAAATACAGGACGAACGATAGCCACATCAGCAAGCAAAGCTTCGAATAGTATTCACTAAGTTGGGCCACATCCTTACGAGAATAAGACTCGTTGAATTGTTGCGAAGATACAAGAGACAGCTCTCTCTCACTTTCATCGATTTAAAACAAGCTCTTGGATTTGTTGAGATAAAAACGGCTTTGGAAGCTGTTGACAGTCAGGGCGTCGCCACTCAATATATCAGGAATCTTCGTGAGCTATATGAGATTTTCACAGCTAAAGTTTCACCATTCTGCAACGATATTAACATCAACGTCAAGGGAGGGGTTAGGCAAGTGATACCGTGTTTCTAAAATTATTTACCGCCATCTTGAAGAACGTTATGCGAACATCGGAATGAGTCAACATAGGCGTCAAAATCGATGGTCGGCAATTACACCATCTCCGATTTATCGATGACATCCTTCTCTTAACACCAAACATTAGCGGACGGGAACGAATGTTTGCCGATTTTGATAACATCTGCGAAAAGATTGGTCTTCGACTGAATCTTACAAAAGAATACTCATCGGGAAAGGATTCGTTACGCATGGAGCATACGTCGCGCTCAAAGGAATGAATGTCTCAGAATGCTCTAACGTCTTTATAGGTAATGAAATCAACTTTATGAACGACTTAGCTCCAGAGCTGAGCAGGAGGCGACGAGAGTCTTGTAGATCTTTCAACAGCATCGAATATGCGGTGAAGAAAACAAGGAACACTACCTGGCCAACTTTTCGACTCCACGATTGTTTCTAAATTAATGAATGTGTCAGAACTCTCGTAGTTGCGTAAGCAGGATAGAGGTCACTCAACGTTGCTGAACGCGCAGTCAAATAAAGGATGCTAGGAGTATCTCGTACTGAGCAACTTAGAGAGGTTCCGAAGCTGAACCTATGCCAGTAATCAAAAAACAAAAACGTCCTTCTACACAACAAATTGTTGAGAATAAAAAGAGTCGGGCAGATAATGGGTATGAACGAAAGCAGTTAGACAAGAGCAGTTAGTGACAGGATTCGAGATTCCAAACATGCTGCAGGAAGACCCCAACCCAATGGTCGGATTTATTCTCGAGAACCGTTGAAGAAAGATGTGATGTTCAACCAGCCCCCACAACAAGCAGGACGCATTGGACTACTCTCTCACGCAGCAGAGAAAAATGGAAGATTTACTGGCGCCCGCTCGAGTTATTCGGAGACCAACTGAACCGTAGGTGATACAGGCGATACAATCTTTCTCATATTTCTACGAAAAGTTCACAGCTTATACTTTTCTCTACGGATCATTTTTTATTTCAGGACACTACTGACATAATTTTTATGAACAATGTGAGTGTCCTTCTATCTAAAACACGAAATAAGACCTCAAAGGACCTCAAATTCATCCTTCCCCGACATTGATAAACATGACTTAATGGATTAATATTTTGTCTTTGTTTTTTTCAAAGTCGCGTTAGTTCACGTCGTGGTCAACAAGACTTCGCATTGTGGGTGTTCTTTGTCGCAACGAGTCAAATTCAGTGAAATGACCTTTCGGGTAAAGAATGTTACACAGCGGTGGCCTTTTGTACACGACGGATGTTGGTCTATTGCCTACATCCAATGTGGTCCAATTTTTGGTGGTAATACATCATGTAGCAGGCGGTACTTCGTTAGCTGAGACAAAGCATGAAAATATTTCTAAAAGCGGACCTTCACTAACCCTCGACGTAAACAAACAATATTTCTTGAAATACTGAGTAATTTTCCCCAACCTCATTTTGACTTAGTAATCTAACTTCAATAGCGATACTTCACTTGGATCAATTCTTAGCAATTCACCTGGCACAAGAAATCTCTTTGTTCAAACACGAAAACACAAATAACACAAAGTGGTGGCGGCGGTCGATCCACTGATGCCGAAGCACACTGTAGTTAAGTGGTTAGCAGTCGCAACTCTGCCTGGACGCCCACGCGTTCGATTCTGGCTAGCGCCGGTTTTCAAGCCTCCTCATCTTCCAGTACATAGGAGGTGACAGACTTGGCAGTAAGCGTGCGTGACTGGCAGAGCGTGAGAAAGCATTAACTCTCACGTCTTTCATCAAGTCATGACAAAATAAGTAGTGCACTTGCGCACAAGAATAAAAGCACTGGTTCTGTAATGTCGTGACTTAGCTGTTTACTGCCTACTTTTTTTATGGCAATGTACAGTGTAAATTGGCTAAGAGGCAATATACGGCAAAGCAACTACCTCGGCTAAGTGTTCACGGCACGTGAGTCAACAACAAAGGTAACCGGAAATTAGAAACCCAGCCGAGGTTAAGAGTTTTGCTCATATTTTAGCATCCTTGTTGCTGTATTGATTTCATATTACCCATTCTCCGAAACTTATTCTATAGGTTAAGTATGGATTCACCTACCTCCGTGTTATGTTTTTGAATCGAGTAGATGAAGGATGGAATATTTCATTTACACTCAGTCCACTTTGAATAAGGAATAAGAATTTTGCTGAGCAAGGATGCATGCGAATTCAGGCCATTCGAGTGTGATATCGAACCAAGGTGGATATGTGCATTACAGTGCTTCTCTAACCATTGCGCTATAAATTCAACTGTTTTTAAATGTTACCCAGAATTGTACGGTGTTAACGGTATGACTGTTAGAAAACAACGCCAAAGGGAACCACTGTCCAACTGTGATGTATATAGGGAAAGGACTTCTGGCTCAAAAAACCGGCAAGCGCATTTCGACGAACATTCGACGCCCAAGAAAGTACCTGGGAAACTCCATTGTAAGAAAATATAAAAAATGGAATCATCAAAAGAGTGGTGGAGTTTTCCGCATACTCTGAGAAAACAAACGACTCTAGCTGCTCTGCCCATTAAGGGTAAGGAATAGAGATTGCAGTGGTGTCTAATGAAGTTAAAGAGATTTAAAGGTAATGTCACTGAAGTGATCGTAATGTTCACACTCGAACTCACTAGAGAGGACCGTTGGATCATTGCAAAATTCGGCGACCTATTGGCCAGTACGGGAGAAGGTTTTCAGTGTAAAACACGGAAATTACTATAAATCTTTAAATAAACCCTCTATAGGCCACAGAAAAGTGGAAAAACAAGGAAAAAGCGTGTTGAAACAAAGGGACGAAGTAATGCTTTTGAAAGTGGAGATAACACTTAAGATATTTATAACGAAAAACAGTCCACTATATTATCAAGGTTTGGCGTTCTGTAGTAATTGGTAATTCATTTATTATCACTATATATATTTTATATCACTATATCACTATTCACTATGTATACATTTAGTGTATGTTTAGAAATAAACAACGAAATGAATGAATTCCTTGAATGAGTGAATCAATGAATTCCTCCCAACGGTTTACCGCCTCATCGTGGCTAGGAGGTCTTCCTGGATGTCGGACTGCGATACACAGCAGAGGTATTCATCCACATGGAAGGGTGTCCCAAGCTGAGATGAAGCCCGCCGTTTCCATCACGAAGCCTAGCTAAGAGTAAACCAGTACCAGGATCCACCACCGTCTTGGTATCAAAGTCGTATGGTGGCAAATCTACCTCTGATCCACAAAGGCTGCTACTGCCTGTGGTGTTGAAGACCTGGGGCAGACTTTGACCAAGCTGACCTCGGGATTCCAAGAAACCACAATGGCTTGACCAGCAGGTCTCCGACAAATGGAGACTGTGCTGGAGCCCACACAACCAGTGAGGACGGGCCATTAAAGTGTCAGGTGTCAAACATCTATATTAAAAACAAGGGCATCAATCCGATAACAAGCAGAATGGCAAGAATAAATGAGAGCACAAGAATGAAAGTGTACTTCGTTGAATGCCATATGTAATCCTGCAAAGACCACTTGGCACCGAAGATTTTCGTTTGTAGGGAAGCCCTTTTTTTACGAACAGGAAACCTGTTTGCATATGTTCCTTCTCGAAAAATCAAGCAGAATCATTTCGTATTCGCTCAGCTGTGCGTCAAATGCTTTCATAATCTATAGCCGATACATTGAAGAAATTCAAAAGCGGTTTGGTGTATGATAAAGAACGAAAGAGAGGGTGATTCCTGCGAACATAAACCCATCCACTCTGATAAATCCATTTATCCTCAGGACGGGTCCTAATATTTCGTCACAGGACAAGCTACCAGCCAGACATAGGAGGAACCTGATCTTTTGTCACTTATGCGCGTTCATTAATATTTCTAACAATTCGCTAATCCTTATCATTAGAAAAATAAACCATTCCTTAGAGAAATCCTGCAACACCCACAAAAGCTGGCTCTGGTTCGATTTCTCTTCAGAGCAGACCAAGCTCTACATTTTTTCAGGGTTGACAACGGTGTCATATAGCATTTAGGCACCTCCACATGACTGACGAGTTCAATTTGATGGCCCATCAGGGATTGGTTAGTGCTAAAAGCCATTTGCTCCGTTTGCTCTTTTGTTATAAGAGCTAATAGTTATGATGAGCATGAAATTCATTTAGAGTGATTTTTTTTACTTCCTCGTTAAGCCAACTTACAGAAAAGCGATGATGCACAGCGCTCTCCATTCAAACAGATGAAGTGGTTACTCAATGTTTACCTTCCTAAGTTTTGCTCTGATACTTGCAAATTGTTAGTATTTTCAACGAACAGGCACCATTTTAGCCAAAGCAACCATAAATAGTTATAATAATGATAATAATAGCAGCTCGAACTTCCTCAGCTTTAACAACTAATTTCTATTTTACCATCCATGGTTGTTGTGGTAATGCGAGGGTGTTCCCAATATTTTGCTAACGTGACGCCAAGCCACGTGTGATGGTGTTGTGCATTCATATCAGACTATTTTTTAATCTGAATAAGGTCCACTGTTCGTAGCATGTAAGCTGCGAGCGGGTGTTGTCACTTTTTGACGAAGAAAGCGGTGAGTTCTTTTTAACAACCCCTTTTTTGTCTATGTAGTGTTCCCAGATTGAGACGAAGGCGAAATCGCCAAAAGGTCAGAGTTGAGTGGAGCACTTCAAGAATGACATAGGGTCTTTTGCTGCTGGAATGAACTGATCTCACTCTCCTCTTCCTCAGGTAACAGGACGTTTCTCGGTCGCCTATGTACAAGAATTGTTATTTGTTTTCATAGTGCCAAAGCAAGATTAGTTTTTTCTTTTTACCCTGCTTCACAGCTACGGCGGTCATTTGTTTTCATGGTGGCAATCTCATGATCGATCTCACTTCATTTCAGCGACAAGAACCGTCCTGCATTTACAAGGCAGCGGTGAACGACGCTACAATCTTCGCTCGATGCTTTACACCTTTTTTCCTTCACCTACACAAAAGTGGTCATCGTTGATTTCTGGGATGCCAAAGAAACTGCAAACTTATCCGCTATTCAAGCACAGATACGCTTGTCTTTTCGATAGTAAACGAGAAATTTTCGACAGTCAGACGTTCGGAATGAATAAAATCACATTATTATAAAAAAGGTTTCGCTCTACTTATCCAGAAATATGAGATTGCTATGTAAGCTACATCTTTTTGCTATGGTTCACCTGCCCATCCTATCGTCGCGAAAATTTGGGACGATTTAGCTACAACCACAAAGATGCTTAGATGTTTACAAAACTCCGGACTGCATGTGTCTGCGGTGTAGAACGAACGCGCTATTACTCTTTCTTAGGGCTAACGCTTACTCCACCACTCCATGCGGGACCATCGTTTCGCCTGTCTCTCAGCCACTTCTATCGATCACTGGCATCAGCAATCAACCGCCCACGGAATTTAACTGGCGAGCCCACATCGGCATTGAACCCAGTTAAGCTGAGGATTGAAGGACCCGCATGGCGTGGTGGTGAACGCGTTAGCCCCCAAAAAAGGTAATAGCGCGTTCATTCGCCGCCGCAGACACCTGCGGTCCGGAGTTTTGCAAATGCCTCAGCATCTTTATGGTTGTATTTCGCATAATACCCTGGTGTAAAAATTGTACTAGGCAGAAAATAAAAAGTAAACATTGTGATTGAGCTACATTTGCTGAACATATTGAAGCAACTCTTGTTCCTGTCTCTCTTTTGCTACGGCGACGAGTCATACTATAGATCAGAAATAGAAGAAAAGTGATAAATTACACATCGGCACTAAATAGAAGATTGTACACTGTTACCTCGCAAATTATTCAGCGGCTGCAATTTGTTGTTGACCATCTACGGAATGCGTATTTGTTCAGGTACAAACAGCAACTTGGGCGCTCTTCAGACCGAAGGTACTATTATAAGAACGTCTACACGAGCAAAATATTTTCTCCTCTTTGCCGGATTAGACGATCCCTCTATGCTGAAACCCGGAGATCTTTTTGGACTAAACAAAGCAGATGCAGCGCACATCGCAAAATATGGCAGGGAAAGACGAATTTATGCGCATGAAAAACAACGCCACTGATTAACCATTTCTAGTGTGCAAATTTTGTCACAGGAGATGGCATAGAATATTGCACCACATTTCGAAAAGATTTTTCTGGAAGGGTTCATTTGCGATTCCTGTTGAAAGGAGAAGTGCTACCCGAAACCAAAAAATCGTTTCAAGGCGAAGAGATTGTCACATAACAGAATGTCGCAGTTCTTGGAATTTGTACAGATGAAGGACATCGCCACTGACTGTGGATCATTTTGAAGTGTGTACATGTTGTAACAGAAAATTGCATAGAATGTTGTCACTACACAACAAAAGGTTTCCTGAAGGATGTTTGCGATACCTTTCGAAAGGACAAACTCTACCCTAAAGCAGAAAATCGTTTCACGGCAAAGAAGTTGCTATACAACAGACTGTCGCAGTTCTTGCAAGATCGGCTGAAGACATTCCTTAAAATTGGATTACCAAATGATCTTAATCAATATAAGGTGATCACACACCAATTGCTTTCTTCACGATTCTTGCCCTATTATAGAGAAACTTCCAATTGAACATGGCCTCTCGTAAAATCTACGGAGATTCGTTATATACTTCCTATGAGTAAAGTTACTTCAATCGGGCGGTCCTAGAAGAATACTCGGTACGACTACGAAGACCGACATCGCGAGGACAAACGAGCACGGACCATTAACACGGATCATCGGCTCAGAAGACATCGAAACGTTCGAGGAATAAAATTTTTTCAATCAACCTACTGTTAGCTTCACAGTGAAAAAATACATCTTCATCCACGTGTTACGACAAGACCTTAGGATGCTTGTAAAGCCTAGGGCTAAGGGCGTGGTCTAAGGCTACGGCTTGGCCCATGGTCAAAGCCTAAGCATTAGTCGGTAAAATAAGTCTGAGAATTAAGCAAAATCATGAAAACTGATTTAATAATAGTCAGACGATTACCGTGTAGCATCCAATCATGGCTCTCCCATAACTCGAGCTGGAATAAACGCAAGCAAAATTCTGCGGCATTAATTGGGAAAGATAATCATCGTCCTGTAGCTCAGCTTCTACGCATATCTGAACATCTTCTTAAATGACGGATGCTAGCTAATGAAACGAATGCGGCTGGTAGTCGGTTATGTGTAATGTATAATGTCGAATCTAGTGAAATAAGAAGTAAAGCAAATTTTACGGAACTGAATCAGTGGTGAACTCTTAAATGAAAGAAAAAAATGAAACAAAAAGAAATACCTGCAACGCGAAGAAGATGATGCATTGGTGGGTGTGATGGGTGAAGACGACAGGATGGTTTAGTGGCTAGCAGGCGCCAGTTGTAGGAGATTGTTCAGTGGTTTGAGACCACAGTTCGCCGAAAGTTCACCGACTCCAAGGTTATTTGGAAATCGGATTTCTATCGGCAAAAATTGTGGAAGTCACGAAAAACCTCATACGTCTTGGTTGATGATGTGGTGTGTAATGGCTTCAACATTACGAATGATCTTTAGCATCTTAGTGTCCGCTTGTCGCTCCTACCTTCAGGCGTTTTTCCCTTTAGTTTACTATATCAGAGAGTTCAACCATAGATAAAAATTCACGCCACATCACAGCACTTCTATCTTTAGATAAGGTTATCGAAGTTGTGTTAAAGCCTAAGGATCCCTCCTTGAGACTCAACTAAGAGCAAGTTAGGTGACAAGCAACAGCAGACGTGGTAAAAATTTAGTTTAAAGGTAACGAGTTTGATGCACAAACTGTGAACAGTTCCGATGTAATAAGCCTAAGAGCAATCCAACAATCTCATATTGGAATCCATAGAGATGGAATATTGGATCAGAAAATCATCAGCATCGCCATCCCGCAACGCGTCATAAACAAATGATGGAGATTGATGTCATGGAGATTGTACTTACTGTGATGACAACCCTTCTGCACCAGGTATCTGATTAAGTATTGCACTCGACCGAGTACAAAACAACAAGCGCTTCCATTCCTATGTGATGAATTGTGAGGGAGAAAACGCTCTATCTATACCACTAGGCTACCACTGGAAGAACAGTTGCCGTAGCGGGCAGACGAACTAATACACATTCCTGCAGGTATGACCAATACCACAATAGCATAATTTGTTATTGTGGTTTATTTTATAATAGGTGTAATGTAGGAGAATAATATTTAGCACTTTTGAAGACGAGAAAAAGACGCCGGAAGAGGAAATCCGAAATAAATTACGTGTAAACGCTGATACCCTGAAGAGGACTGCTTCTAAACCAGAAATGGTGCATTGAAAAACAAAGAAATAAATGAAGCAAAAATTCTTTATTACTTCAATGTAAGCTTGTAAAAACCAGTTTATGGACTATGTACTATGCAGTTTCACACTATGGAAAACACTCAGCACTGCATATGACAGACAAGATGGCAAAAAAAACTGGAACTGTACGGCGAGGAAAGTAAGTCACATGAGAATATGAGTGGAGGGAAAATAAAGATAATCAGCAACAAAAACGAAAATATGAAATCCTATCAAATCGGGCACATTTTGCATGTTCTCGCACAATATCGTTTTCGTGTCACAGGATCAGATTTCGTGCAGAAGCCATTCGCCATCCAAGAATCACAGCTGAAGCACTTTTGTTTAACCAAAGAAATTACTAAGGTTCTTCTGTTGCCCATCGCAGAAAATTCGTCCACAGAGAAGCACTGCCTGATGCCCTGGTTTCTCCGCCCAACTTTTTATCTTTCACCGACTCATTACATTTCTATCTACTTTGTTACTGTCTGCTTTGTTTTCCGTTCAATTGACTAAATCCACTTTAGATGACTGATCGAAATAAATTTCAGCGAAGATGTCACTGAAATATTTTTAACCTTGTATCATTATCGTAGAGTTAAAGGGAGGATAAAGAAGAGGAAAACAAAGGAGAAAAAGAGTAAAAAGAGGAAACGCACTTCACACTAGCATCAAAGCATCCATCACATTTATTGCATGTTTTTGCACATTCGCGATGCATCAGACCATCGTAACTGGGATTTGTGCATAGCTCTTTTCTTGTCGTACAATCTTTCGCGAAATCAACGCATTTACGTTTAAAAGGAGATTTTTAAAGCTTGCGAGAAAAACAGGAAAACGAACTCGACTCTGACCACCAACAGGGCAACGGTTGCATGTAGATGCACATTGTTCACTCGTGTTGTCGTAAAATTCGACTGAGTTACAAAATTTCTAAACATCAAAATAAACAGTGAAGACTTTTTCTTTACTTTTCATGGAATAAAAGCTTCTAGAAGTTTTCCGTATTTTCAATTTCAAAATTAAAAATGGAAATCGGACAAAAATGCCTGGTGCCGCCAATGTGGAGCAGACAGAGCTGTCGGCGAGGTCCTTGCATAAATTCGCATTCTTCACGTCGCATTTACCACATATCGACGGACATTTTTCCTAGAAACTTCTCCGTATTCCATAACTAATGTAAGAAGTCGGAGCGCAGATATGGCGGTGGTTAGAGGTAAGACACAATAGATCAGTCCTTTGTCCGATCATATCCCTTAGGCTCACTAAATGTTCACTCTTTGTGGAGTCATCAAACTGCTAGTAGACTTGTCTAGCAGGATAGAAACAAGGACCAGATACAATGGTAGGCCTTTGATCGTTTCTTATGTGTTCATTCACCCCTACGATGTCTGATAAAGTCTATCAAATGCACAACATATACGTAAAGGATTGATCAACACCGAGCGCTCCTCCTTTATGCTTCATAGAACAACTCGAAAAACCATCTTTAAATTAATACTTGCATTAATAAACATATTATTTTAATCTTACGAACTTCCCTTGATGGGCTGATATAAGCTTATTAACATGTATCTTAGTTATCAATCTCTACTTGGATGGAGCAAAAATCTACCGTTGCGACATTTCAATATAAAATCCCCGTCGCTTTCTTTATTTGAAACGTTCACTGTCATCTTTTACGGCTTGTGCTTCTGTTCATTGATCTCGGACGGCTTTGTGAGCAGAAGAGAGTTTCTGATTTCGCTACAAGGTTTCTTCCATGGCGGAAGTACAAGAGTGTATTAATATCAGCTCTTTCTTTCTTTTACCCAAGTATCACCTACAGCTATAAAAAATCAAAAGAAAAATCTTTAATCACCTTCATAAATCATTCTCATTTCGTCGAAGTACATTAGGAGACAAGTGCCGTACAGTTGAGTACCGAATCCGGTTGTGGATTACTGCATGTGAATGCGTCACATTCCCTACGTGTCACTAGGCAATCCTGAAAAACTCATATATAACAAAAAGCTAGATAACTAAAAGATGACTGAGAAGTCAAATATAAAACTGACGAAATTATTTCACTGCTATCATTAAGTTGTAAGATTTTCTAAATTTGTTAAGTGCAGGAAATTTGCCCATTGCTAATAAGTCATATGTCAATACTGTGAAATAACTCTACCATCAGTTGTGGTCTATGAGACAAGCCTTTACAGTTGTCGATGTTTTCGAAGATCTCAAGAAATGTTCCTCTTTGGTCAGCTTTTCACAGTCCTCTACGGATATGACGTTGATGAAAAGAAACATAAAAAAGACGAGGAAGTAGGAAACGATGAACATCCTCGTAATAGGTTGATATGGTTGAGGCCATTGAATCCTTAAATACATGACAACAGCAGGTGTGGAAACAATAATGTGGTATTGTTCCAGTAATGTTATAAACACAATGCAATAGTACAGTTGAAAAAAACAATTGGAAAAAATCAGCCTTGGAATGCAACTGTACACCAGGCAATAACTGTACAGTGAAAAAAAAATATTTTTTAGTCATTTAGGTACTTATATAGATGGTGTCAAATGTTAAACGGACCATCTTTCACTTCTCGATCATTCGTTTCGTTGTCTTCCAGCCCATGAAGGCTTCTTCCGTCTGAGCTTAGTTACTACTACGGGAACTCTTATGGTCTCCTGTCACCAGGATGCTAAACACTAGCTTAACGTCCGTTTTTTCAGCCAAAGTAGTCAGACCTGTGCGTTCCGAGAACTTGACCGTAGGCAATCGTTAGCTGTTATGAAAGAAGAGAAGAAGGTTTGCTGCTTTACAACAAGGAATTTCCTACGATGCTAGCCAGTTGTGTTATGGCAGCCATTGTTACGCCCAGTAGAGCAAACTATCAAATATGACCTGTTAATCTGAATCTCAATTTGAAACACTGAGTATAATTAGCAGAAGGTACAGTTGATTACATTGATAACCTTGATTTGAAACAGTTTAACAAATGAAACAATTCTTTCGTAAGATATTCATGCAGAATTAAGTACACCTTAAACCCATCGACCTAACTTTCACCAAAAAGCAAAGCCCTGCCAGTTGGCCTACTAGAGAACTTTTCGAGAATGTAAAAACATTCTGGAAACAAACACACTGGTAGGTCACCATAAAGTATTAAAATGTGCTTTCAACTAACCCTGTGATATTTAATGGAACAGGATGTATGATGCAGCCCTAGAGGACAGCTTAATGTCCGAAGTCTATATCCCTTATCCTCGTGTTGGTTAGACAGAAAAAACGGTGGCTCATACTAATTTTCGAACCAATTCAAAACCTAAAAAATCATCTAGCGTGGGTCATCTTCCAATCGTCGTCGTTTCAATTACCAAGTAAGCCGACTAGGAGGTCTCAAGCTAAAGCGTTCACACCACCGAGTTCCATTTATAGCTGATATTGTCGCTTCAGTTAAACCGTCTAGTTTACCCCAGTAGCACACTGCAGACCAGTGGACGGCATCCACTCGTTTCTGACTGTCAACCATCACCACGGTTGTCATCAAGCACCCTGTTTGTCACATCTAATGATGGTCATCATCTCTGTCAGCATCACATCGTCTCCCTTTATCGGCAGTCACATCCTGTTCATGTGGCGACGAACTGGTAATCGTCTACACATGAGCTGCAGTGGTGGTAGAGGCGACGAGTCGCGATCATGATCACACCCGAGCGCATCGTGACGCAAATGCAAGCTAAACTTGTTGCAAATCTCGTCGAACAGCAACGACCATTCGCTGAATTTTGAAAAAACAGCGTTAAAAATTTTTTTTCACTTGAAGACTAACGAAACTATAGATTAAGTCAGCTAAAATGGAAGAAATGACAACAAATTTCCGGATTGTTTCATCCATAAGTGTTTTTCAGGGGGAAAGCTCTGTTAGGCTCGCCATCTGAAAGACACGGAAACCATCAGGCATTTCTAACGAGGTTATTTATTTGCAAACCCATGGGTAACTTACTGCAATAAGCAGCGGTAGCCTCGGAAGTGTCATTGCTCAATAGTAGAGTTTTGCTGAACTAGATCTCAAGCTTGTATGTGACAGCGAGACTGGATCACCTCCTTATACCTTTCAGTCACACTACTACAGGTTGGTGGAACACATATTCAGGATACAATGCACTTAGACAGATGTTCACTCAAACACATAAGATGAATATAACCATGTGTATGTACAAGATATACCCTGGGCAGAAAAGCCAACAGGATCATTTCCCAAATCCACTTCTAGGACTCAGGGCAAGACATTATGGCTTTCATTTACAACCTAGACATATTCTCTACTTAGAAAGGGGTAACGTTATATCTTGAATAAATGGCTGCAAATCTCTCAAATATCTATTTCCATGGTGGCTTGAATTTGCTCAAATTTGTGAATAGATGGGATCATCGACGACAGACGTTAATTTGAAATTCGAACCGAATCCTATAACTATATTACTGCATTGTTTCAACGATATCGGAGCTCTAACAAGCCACATAACCCTATGAAACCGCGCACCAAAGCCAAAGTATCGTGGAACCTGATAAAATCGAAAGTTAGATTGATAACGGTCACGACTGCATATAGACATACATTGCTGTGATATCTCAACAATGAAATCTCACACACGGATTCCGTCTTCATTAAGTAGCAGCGGCAGAAAGCGTAACGGCCATTTATTCCGTCATGATCGGGCATATTTTACAAAAATACCTATTTACATTGATAGCAAAATAATTCGCTTTCACCTCTATTGTGGGTATAAATACTTATTTACTTCGATTCGAGGCCTTGGATCCATTTACAGAGGTAGACCGATTCGTGCGATGGTTAGGATAAAGACGGCTGATGAAAGAGGTTGACGATTTATTATTTTCTCCGCTCATTTAAATATCAAACGTCGCTTACATATGGGTCTTCTGTGGACCCAAGATAGACCTGTGAATGCTTGACAAGATGTTCACAATAAGTAATCGATATCCCTGGTGGAATAAAGAGGGGGTTTCCGCTTTATGACTACTGTTTAACAGGATAGCAACGATTTCTAACTGAACATGGATAGTTCAGAAAAAATAATTTTGCGCATTTGAATATAAATATGCAAAGTAAACGTGAAACTTCTCTTTCTTGACCCAGTATCACATATATCGTGAACTTACCAGCATTTCATGCGTTCGATTTGTTTCGTCCACAAAGGCCTTCGAACTATCCGCTTATGGGTTCGATAACTGTTTGCGGATTTTTTGCCTTCTTTATAAATGTCGTTGAATAGTGGTGGAACCGTCTCCAGGTAATTCTAGGAGACCCTTACTAAGGCGTTCCTAAATCTTCATCACAGACAGAGGTCAGCTTTTGCGCAAAGAAAGGAGTGAGCTAATACAAGCCTAACATCAGTTTCTAGATTCCGACCGGATACCCGGTTTAGTTGGTCCAGCTTGGGATCGAACCAAAGCGTCCTGCTTTTGAACGACATTACTACCATTATGTTACCTTCGTCTAGAATTCCACCATTGCCTTCAACAGCTTCATGGTTTTTAATAACTTCTTCAAGGATTTGAAACAATCGTTGAAGGGACTTTTCCAAATCACTCTGATGGTATAGATAACCTTCCTAATATACTATTTTTAACCGAAAACAGGAAAGAAGAGACACGAGCAAAACTTGGAACCTCAGGTGGGCTTCGAACCAATGATTACCGTTACCATCGGCTCTCGTATTATCCACAACACCGCTTGAGGCTCCTGCTTTGCCTTTCTCTCAACCGGTTTTTTACTCCATCGTGTTGCCCCCTGTCAACGGAAACGATCTGAGAGATGCAAATCAGCATTGAACCGAGTTAAGCTGAAGCCTCAGCAGAGATCATAATATTACTGTCTATACTTCTTTTAATGGCAGGGTATAACGTGAAATATAAAATAGGGATACTGAGACGCGACAGAATCTTAGAACCTTAGATTTAAATATTATTTCTAGTTCGTTTTTTGGACTTAAGATTCTAAGAACAGTACTAATACAATGGAAAGTAAAAGTTCGTAATACCAGCTCGGCAGCCACAAATGTCAACGATGCCATTCGGCGACAACATCGTGTTTCGCTGGATGAAACACTTTACGCAATCACGTAACCCTGAAAAATACGATCACAGACTACATAAAAAGAAAAAAAAAAACTAATTCTGGCTTAAAATACATTAGAACTTTATCTTACTAGAATAAGACAAGCATCCGTTAGACAAAGATTTGCAAATTCTAGGGAGTCTTTATTTAATCAAATCATCATGGGCCAAAATTTGTTTACTTAAGATTGAAAAGCCGAATATTTTTCGGTGTAAACCGACTCTGATTATTATTCTTAGTTGCGGATACCTTTCCTATAGATGGAGTGATGTAGGAGTAAGAGAACTTTTAAGAATTTCCCATGCAGCACGCCAATCGCAAACACTGACAATGCACCGAGCGATTCCATCGTTTTCACCTGGACGACATTCCACTTGTTCAACCGTCTCAGCAAACGAGCTTTGGCGAAAACGAAGAAAAATTTTATGAACCCCCAAAAATTATATTCAGAGGATGAAAAAATGGAGCGCCCGACCTTAATAGCTCCCTAAAGAATTCGCCATTTATTCAACTTCATCAAATAGAGTTGAGATGATCCCAAAGATGAATGCAGGTCTGACTAGTATGCGTTTTCGACAGACCACTGTGCAAAATCAGCTTTTTTATCTTCCCAGACAAGTCTGGTACCAATCTGCCGACCCTGGGGTGTTGGTGACCTTAGTGAATCTGGGAAACGGGATCTGACCACCGACCAACCCTGCTGGTATTGCAACCACTGCGCCATACGCGCCCTAGTTCAGGCGATGTATAGTATGAGAATAAGCATCTTCTAAGTAAAGACCTGTATATTCTCATGGTTTCTATCTCAATTATTAGTTTAGCATAAGATCACATTTAAATTTGAAGAACCCAATATATTTCGGATGCGCATCAAAACTATTCGCCCACTATATAGAGGACAAAGGATAAAGCTCTCGACGTTGATCAGACCCTGAAGGATGCGCCATGCATTCGACTTCATTAAGCATCATTGGAGGTGATTGAATGCATACCTGGCCTTTACAATGTTTCACGGTGGCTGCAGTCGTGGACATTAAATATCCTTTCAAGACTCGTTGCCCTTTTTGAATAAATTCTTTACTTTACAAAAGAGGAAAAATTATTTCACGGTGTTCCTCAAATTTGCAGAGTTAAAGCTTAGAATGCCCGAATTGCTTAATGATGTCATGAGCCCTCAGTGAAAAAGCACTCATTTTAATACGAAATTTTTAAACTTTTTAAAATGGTAGAGGTTACTAGAAACAGAAACAAAAAGACTAAAGCTGTAGAAACGATGTCCTACTCGTGAAGTGAATGAGTTTCCGAGAAGCGACCCTTCAAAAAGAATTCTTGAGTAGCTGGTAAAATTATCGAAAACGGAACTCTTTCACTATGCCAACAACCTTAGCGCTAAAAGTAAGTGAAAGCTCTCCAGTAGTCTAGAACAATGCGCCAAAATTTCAGTTAAAATTAGCAAAGAAAGGTACTTTTCCTTCCAGCGTAATCGCAAGGACATTGATTATATTGAGCTAATATTCATAACGATAATGCTGATATGAAAGCTTCATTAGCATACGGTTATGACAAAAACCAGATAGGGTTGGTCATTTCCAGCGATAACGGAGTCTTAAAAAAAGCCAGTTTCTTTACTAGTTATATAAGACATCATGACAGGCAGACAAACACTTATCCAACGCCGAAACCATCACTATATGTATACAAAGACCACCAGTTACACATTTCCTCCTGATTTCCTCTGGCACGGAGAAAATCTTTCACGTGCTTTCATCTTCATAGAAATATTTGTAGTGCTGGTAATCCATGTAGAATACTTAAACACTTCGATGAACCGCCTCCTTAAAAAAATCATCTGTCATCCATACAAATCCCTATGGGCGCATAATTCACTGGCCCGACTCGATTTTATCTATTTGGACCGTCAATACTGCTATGGCAGAACTTTCCTAAGTCGTCAATACACGCAATAACCATAGTCTATGGACTTTATGACTAGATTGCTACCATGATTGTCATGACTCCTGTCCAGACCTCCCATGGAAACGTGAAGATAATTCTTGAGACCAGACTCGCTGAGATAAATTCTCGGTGCATATAGCATTCCGACAACCAAGACACCCTACAATCACGATGAGGTGGCAAGTAACTATTAAAGGCTATGTGCAGAATAGGTCACGGAACATCAAATATCAGTTTTTTTTCTCGAATATAAGTGGCTTTCGATAATAAAACAAGTCCTTCGATAGCCATAAAACTTTCTATCAGTTATTTTTTAAGCAATTCTATCGGTTTCCTTCATGTTTTCAACCTCGTGCGCTCAATCATCTATACGTTTAAACAACAAGTTCCAAATTCACAAACCTTCTAGCAGTTTTCTATTCAAGATCGTACAAAATCATTCTAATTCCTTCCTACTTACAAACCTCCGCTGGTAATTTCAGGGTATGTTGTACCTTCAACTCACGCTACTGCTAATATTTGCTGTTACCACCAATGCATTTCTATTCCCAATGAGTGGCGGAGGTGATGCCAAATGTTGTTGCTGCCCGCCGCCACTACCACCACCTTCAGCTGGATGTGGCCCAGCAGGAGGAGGAGGCTATGCTGTTGCTCCGTCAGTTGGAGCATATGCTGCGGCACCGCCACCACCACCACCACCTCCACCAAGTTATGCGGCACCATCAGGCAAGTGCATTGAAATGTTGTGAAAACAATTGGCCTGCAGCAAAATAGGTAAAACTTTTGGCGTTGACCAACCCCTGAGGGATGTGGCATGAATTCGACATCGTTAATCATTGTCAGAGATGATGGAATGCGTATATGGCCTATACAATGACTCGCGGTGACCTAACGATGTATCGAGCCACTGCTGCTATCTTCTCAGACAAGTCTGGTAACAAATCGCCGACCCCGGGGGATGAAAGGCTTGATAAGTCTGGACACGTGAACGATACCACGTGCGTTACAGGGCGCCTTTAACCACTGCACTAGACCCACACAAACAATTACCCCACAATACATCATTTCTGTTATTCAAAAGTCATCTTTTTCAGCTGGATATGCGGCGCCAGGCGGTGGGTACGCTGCTCCAATCGGTGGCGGAGGATACGCTCTAGGCGGTTAGGATTCGATACATTATTATATTGCTCTAATTGTAGTAATAGCGATAAATAATCTAACGTTATTCATTGTTTACACATGAGATCCGATCACAAAAAAAATTATACGCTTTTTCAAAATAGGAACCTAAACAATCTTAACGATAACAGTCGATATTGAAGATCTGATGTGTAGCATGGTGACGTTGGTAAGACGCGTGCATGAAATTTACGCAACAAAACTACCATAAGTCTAGACGCCTAAAGAACTTTAGATATTTGTTGCTTGTGTTAAAAAAACTCGTTTAGGCAATCTTTCAAACTTCTAGCTGCTCAAAACTGTGATAGCGACACATCGTGGCGACCACTTTACTTCTGATTTAAAAGATCGCCTTTTTATAAACGCGGAATTAGTGATTGATATATGCACGTTTTATAAACTGCCCTTGTTTAGCTGATTCGAGTCTGGTATCAGTTGCTATTGTTGCTGTTGCTGTGAGTTCACGTAGACACCATACGCGTAGTATCACACCTCGTAAACGCCTTCGAAGAAGGTGAAGTCACCAAAAAGTCAGCAATTGAATCACAGCAACAACAACGACTAGTAGCGACCACGCCTCAACTCAACAAGGACAGTTCGTAAAATTTACATATTGGTGATTTTTTCATGTTTCATAGTTGAAGCACGCATCAACTGCACACCCATTACTACCAACAACCACTATTCGTCAAGGATTAGCCAAAATATTATCTTCTAACTGAACACATTAGAGAACGGAATTTAAAAAATGTCATTCAATTCCAAAGGTTAGGAAAAACAATGCCTATAAAAAACGGCCGAGGCAAAAAAACGGTAACTTATATAGTACCATTTAGGTGGCGCACCCATTAAAGCTGGTGGCGGAAGTTATGCAGGTGGAGGTGGTGCGTATGCAGGAGGCGGAGGAGGAGGCGGTGGCGCTTACGCTGGAGGAGGTGGCGCCTATGCTGGAGGCCCAGGAGGAGGCGGAGGCGCGTATGCTGGAGGTCCAGGAGGAGGCGGTGGCGCTTATGCTGGAGGTCCAGGAGGAGGCGGTGGCGCTTATGCTGGAGGTCCAGGAGGAGGCGGTGGCGCTTATGCTGGAGGACCAAGAGGAGGCGGAGGCGCGTATGCTGGAGGTCCAGGAGGAGGCGGAGGCGCTTATGCTGGAGGTGCAGGAGGAGGCGGTGGCACCTATGCTGGAGGTGCAGGAGGAGGCGGTCTCGGTTATGCTGGAGGCGCAGGAGGAGGTGGTTCCGGTTATGCTGGAGGTGCAGGAGGAGGCGGTCCCGGTTATGCTGGAGGTAGTGGTGGAGGTGGAGGAGGTGGCAATTATATTGGAGGTGGAGGCGGTGGTGGTTATAGTGAGGGTGCAGGAGGAGGCGGTGGTTACTCTGAAGGGCAAGGATCAGTTCCATTTGCTCCTCAACCACAAATTCCTCAAGTGCTCACTGTTCAACGTCCCGTGCCACAACCTGCACCTGCGCAACCGTACAGTGAAGTCAGTTTTTAGATAACTGTTACAATTTATGCAATAATCACCCCAATTAATACTAAAAAGTACTACTTCAGACAGCCGTCGACTACTCAGGTGGCTCCGGTGCCGGAGGAGAAGCTCTCGTTAAACCAGAAAATTATGGCGAAGCCGCAGCAGAAACTGCACCAGTAGGAGGTGGTGGCGGTGGAAACATTGAGCAAACAGCAGGTGGCGGTGCCGCTGAGGATTATGACGGTGCTCAAACGTCACGACGGCGACGTTTTTCGAAGGGATCACTAGACAGCAGCTGTAACTCTTTACGGCTCCGTAAGATTATGCAAGAGGTAGGTCACACTGATTTACCTGATTCAGTAACTTTTAAACGCTGTAGGTGGTTTGAAAAGGAACACGAGGTGAAAAAGGTGAAGCAAAACGGAACAATTTGTTGCGAAAAAAAGTCTACTTCGGCAGAAATACGGCATGAAAAGTAGAGTTACTTCAGCTCTGTACTTACAATTATGTCGTCTGAAAAGTGACAGATCGTCATAGTAGTGTACCTTCAAGCCAAGTCGACTCCAAGGGGCTCAAAGAGTTCTTATCAGCTCAATTTTAGACAGAAGGAAAAATTTGACAATAACGGTTACTGACTATATCCGGTAACTTGTCATTCATATCCGTATGGATCACCAACACAGAAAGGTTACCGAAGGCGATGGAATGAATTTGGCACTACACAAATTATCAACACAAGGCTCCCATTCTCTTTTCTGTCGAAGTAGCGAATGATCTAGAAAAAAGTATAAAAAAAATAAAGATAACATAATAGTAAAAAAACCTAAGCGAGATTATTTAGAATGCCAGGGTACTAGAAAAAATGTTCACAAAATGTGTTTTTTCACGTGGTCAAGCGAACGGCAAATAAGGCGCAGTAGTTAGGGGTGTCCTACAGCACACTCTTGGTAGTTGGTTCGATCCTACGGCCCAGGCTAAACCTCCTATCACTCCGAAGGTAGAAAATTGGTACTAAACTTGTTTTCGAAAAAATAGTGATGTAATAATAACTTAGCTTTTAATTTAATCTAATAATTTACTAATGTGATACGTCGCTTGAACCCATAAGTTTTGTATAGGACAGACATGCCACTTAACAATTTTTGATGGGGTCCAATGCATGGCGCATCTTTGAAGGACTAATTAACACCAAGTGCCTTTACATTTTTACAAGTATAAATAATAAGCGACTACCAAAGTATAGAAAAAGATTAGGAACGATTACAAAATCATGGTAGTGAGCCAGAACTACAGCTATCCACCGCGGCTATCCTACCACATCGTAGTGGAACCATATAAATACAACTAGCGCTTAAAGAGTGCTTTGTATTTTCAACAAGACCATTTCTATTGCAGAGCATGACCGATGAACCACAATCATCAATGGTTCAAGTGTCAGGAGAGGTGAAATCACGTCTGAATACTGGTGAATGGTATGTGGCATGCGGTACTGACGGTATCGAACCACTAGAAAATGAACAACGTGAACATTGTCTGGTTGAAGCTGAACTTTTTACGTGTTACGTTGTCAAGAAGGACTGATATGAAACAGAATACGCTCATATCAAATGTGGTTTGACCGGTAACATTAGTCAAATATAATGGTTTATGTTCATTTTCACTTCATATTAAATAAAATAAGATTGGTTGTTTGTGTATTTGAACTATAGAAGACCATTCTGAACGGGATACTATCCAATTTTCGGATTGCTGAACACAGTTCGACAATAAATTCGATTGGAGAATCAAGGACAAGAACGATATACATGCCTATTGATTTGTACCGTACCCTAGCCACTAACTTACGCAGGAGGTACAACACGAACTAGAAATGAGGTGAGGTTGATGGATATTGAATTATAATACAGAGCACAGGTTTTCAAAGCATAGGCAAATAGCCTAGATATACTGGCAAAGAACGCAAGTTCTCTGGGATATCGTAAACACAGTTCGTAACATAACCAGTTACTGCTACCACGATGCTATTCATGCCCGACTATTGAATTTGGATAATGGTTATACATCAAACAACATTTTTTACTCTTTTATTTGCAATTGCCGAAAACCTTTGACGATCAAAGAGAGCTTTTACCAGACAAGTCTGATTCAAATTTGCCGACTCAATAGAGATAGGCAGCTTCGTTGAGTCTTGGCGGAGTTTGAACCAGAAACGGAATTTATAAGAGTATTATTCCACAATATCTCTAACCACTGAGCTTACGGCACACATAAAATGACATGACATAAAGTAAGGTAACTGCAACACGAGCATACCCGGCTAGCATTCAAGGACATTCATAGAGAAAACTAAAATTATCACGCAGCAACCGAACTCACATCAAGATCCGAGAACTTGCTTAATGATGAATACAAGCGAGAAGTCAATTGCAAACCATACTTTTAATGCGTCGTTTCCTTGTTCAGCAATCGCGAGGTTTTTAAACAGCATACATTTACTTCCATAGAGAAACACAATACAATACAACGCTAGCTGACGTTTCGGCAGTATCGCCTTCTTCAGAGCCTGGAAGGGTATGCTGATATACAATCTACTAGGCCAAACGCTTCAATAACACTTACAAAAAGACGAAAGACTCTTTGGTAATTACATGATCAACAATTTCTCGAAAAAACCCACCGCTTTTTTTATATAAAAAATGCTATAAAGCTATAAAACGATGCTTAAGAAGGGCAAGTTTAGAGGAATCGGTAGCGATAGTTGAAATACCACCGGCTACTCTACGTCGCCAATTAGTTCGCAACCGCCTGTATGACCGTCTGTGTGAAACAACAAATTGCGAAATTTGCGCTTACGGCAAGGACGGTGATTGCATGAGTTCAGGTACGATATACCTGATCTCTTGTAACAATTGCGGAGATGAATATATTGGCGAAACGGGCAGACCTTTGTGTATCCGTATAAAAGAACACCTAGATGGCAAACGAAAACTAAGACGAAGCAGCCCACTAGGCACGCATAGGATACAAAAGCATAGCGGAGACGATTCTGAAGTAAAAGTCAATATCCTCGCACAGGAGACTAAAACACCAGCGCGAAAACTTCTCGAGGGTTTTTGGATAAATGCCAAAAACCCTACAATGAATAGCAGGGACGAATGCCCGGAGGTCATACGCGACCTGATCCCGTACGCTTGGATCAATGCCAAAGACCCTACAATGAATAGCAGGGACGAATGCCCGGAGGTCATACGCGACCTGATCCCGTACGTTCGCATCGATTTTTGATGTGGGATGGTGCAATCGTCAACCACATGCGACTATAATCGGCTGTTCTAAACTTCCTCATTGGAAGTCACGAAAAAGCGTTGTATTGTATTGTGTTTCTCTATGGAAGTAAATGTATGCTGTTTAAAAACCTCGCGATTGCTGAACACGAAAACGTCGCAGTCAACAGCATTGCAATCATTTGCTATCGCAATAAACAAGTACTCCATAGCCACTCCAATGTTACTAGTTTATTTCAAACTGTTCATCGAAATTCTTCGTATTCTTGTTTAGCAAACGAGAGGTGTTATTTTAATCTTTATTCACGAACAAGCTGACGTATCTGCTGATTTCGCCTTCCTCAGAACCTGGAAAGGTCAAGTTGACAGCAGTCTATTCGACCAAACACCTCCACAACCAAAAAGAGAAAGCATTAAAGTAAGACTGCAATCACATTAAACACAGAATAGCTTCTTTGCACACTCACCGCTTTCTATGAGTCTTCCACTGAGTATGTCGCGTGGAGACCAACCACACAGAATCCAAATGGAAGCGTAATGTACCTATCCCATCAGAATAGCAGGCTTATATACTGCCTAATATCACGCGTGATAATGAGGCATTCCTTCATGCCGTTCATTTCCGGACTCTTGGAATTAATCCAGAATGCCTCGAGAGTTTTGCGCTCTTGTGTGCTATATTCCTGTGCGAGGATCGTAACCCGTACTTCAAAGTTCTCCCCATTATTTGTCTGCATCCTATGTGTGCCTACTGGAGCATTTGGTTTAAGTTTACCGACTAGGCGTTCTTCTATACGAACGCAGAGTGGTCTACCCGTTTCGCCAAAGTATTCGTCCCCGCACGTTTTACAAGAGATCAGATAGACTGTACCCGAACTCATGCAATTACCATCTCTCCATTAGGACAAATTATGCAATTTTGCGTTGCACATAGACGGTCACATATATGCGGTTACGAACTAGCTGGCGCCTAAGAGTACTCGGTGGAATTTCAATTGCATTTACCGAATTCTCTAAACCCGCCCTTCTTAAGCAGCGTTTTATAGCTGCACTTACATTATTTGAGATGAAGGGTAGGATAAACGGGACCCATCTATCGCTAGAGTTGTCGTTTGGAGGCCTACGATTTCCTCTACACC